AGCAAGCATAATCACAGGCAACAAAGTCATGCCCCTTTTAGTTATGAACGGTCTCTGGGCTTTCAGACTGCCTCAGAAATGTAAACTAAATAATGTTAAGTAATACTATTACTGCTTTCCTGCTGGTAACCCAGCAGACTGCTTTCTCTCTTTCATGTTTTTCCTATGGGCTGCTCCTGCCCGAATGGCTGAAGTGTAGAAAACCAACATGATTGTGTACTCATTTGCTAGGATCCACACCAGCTGTTTTTAGAGTTTCATTGCACTACAAGACCTTGTTTTCCAGATGTTTGTCCTTAGAGTTGTACCAGACGGAGAGTGGTCTATAGCTCGTGGGAGACAGATTAGCCCACCCTCGTGGGGAAGGGGGAAGAAAAAAGCTTTCTATGAAGCTGGAAGTAAATAGAGCCAAAATAAACGAAAGTGCTGCAGGAAAATGGTTTTGAAAGCAATTCCCTGCCCTTATTTCCTGTGGAAACACGTCCTACCAAACTTCTCAGCTCCCCGATCCTCAGCAGAGATGCAGAAGTTGCCATGTAGCGTAAACACCCTCTAAAGACTGCTCTTGTTATCAGATGTTCTTTCAGCTCCTCTGAGTCATATATGTGCTGTTGAGCGTGCGAGACCAATTGATGTTACCGTCCTATTTTCACTTTTTTATTCCGTTGATATTTTTTTCCCTTGAAAACAGAGACAATCGCATGCTTTTTGCATTTTCTTTCCCTTTAAATTCTTAATCTCCCTGCCCCTCCTGCAGTGAACCTAATGTCCTCGATGACTCCCCGAGCCTGGCCACTGAGGGCAGCCTCTCTAGGTACAGTGTTAACACTACCTGTCTGTCAGTGTGTGTGCTGGGAAACGAGCTGTTTCCAACCTCCTCTGTCTCTTCCCCTCACCTTTTGTCGCTCTTTCCATCTCTGTCTCTTGTGGCTCATTGATATTCAGGCCTGCAAGTCAAAGGTGTAGCAACCCACCTTCAGTTTTCAGCTTTGATTGCCAGTAACTTTGAGGAGGTGAAGGGGAAGGGGAAAGAAAAAGCAAGTGAAATAGTGGTCTGGCTGGCTAGCCTCAGGGTTTTCCCCTTGTTCAGCAATTGCTTGAAAGGCATGAGAAAGATTATCCACAAGGCATTAGCTGTAGCCTGTTATAAGCATTAGTCTGGAGGCTTATATAAAACAAGGACATCTGTTTTTCCATTCGTCTCGCAATGCTGTCACCGCAGAAGATTTAATAATGATACCAAGCTGTGTTCTTTAACACTGGCTAATAAAACTAATTATGATAACTCCTGTGAAATGTAGTTTTCTGTGGATGCTTTACAGGAATTCTCACTGTTTTTACAAAGTTATTCCGATTCTGAAATGACATCTTAGAAAACTTGCATGTGAGCACCATTAATACATATTTAAAATTGCCCTCTTGGTGTCAGAGTCCAGGTCTAGCTGTTCCCCATTACCTGTGCAGAGGGGAGTTTGTGTGCAAACACCGTTACGGCTGTGCCTGTCAAGTGGGTCAGCAGAGAGCTTAGGAGGGAGGTCTGTACCTTTAATGGCCAACTCAGTCGTGTTAATCACCCTTACCATCCTGCTGCTGTACTCGCACCTCTCAATCCATCCCTGCGAGGTCGGAGAGCTGTCATTAGTCCCAAGAGCGTCTCTGTTTACTTCCAGAAGGAGATTGTCCCTTGCATTGACAACACAGAGGGTAACATGCTGTTTCATTACCTTACCACGCCAGCTGAAGGTGTGGGTGTGCCGAGAGGCATCTGTGTGAATGTTTTGTATTTGGTTAGCTTGGTTTCGGATGTCAGCAGTGGCTTTTTGGGGTGGGCACAGGCTGCTTTGTTCGTTTGTTCATTTACCTCGGCTGACAAATGGAGAGTTTATCATTGCTGCTGCCACTGAGGTCATCCCACCGTTCGTGTTGCCATTTGTGTGCGTGAATCCTGCGCTGGCAGAGCGGTCTCTAACTGGTGCTGCTGTAGGAGTGGCATTAGGAAAAGACATCGGCTTGTTGGCAGAGGCAGGAATGTCGTTATCATCTGGTTTTGTGATAAAGCAAAATGGATTGCGTTGTCATCTGAGCACATTTTGGGGTCTAAAGAGAACAGAAGTCATTCAACTGAAGAAGTTAAGTGCCATCCCTTAAGTAGAGCTACTCACTGCAGTTGTGGAGGATGATGAAGGAGAAGGTCTGTATCTGAGTTAAAGCCATAATGACCTGATACCAGGTTTCATCAGTGTTGAATTTGAACTGTTTTGATCTTGTTAAGTGGAGTCACTCCTAATAGCAGTGGTGAGGCTGAGCAATAGCAGACAGCCGAGTCAACAGATGAGCTCAAACGCAGTCATTTATTTTGAACCCTGAAATGTAATCAGCTGTTCAGTGGGTTCCTACTCATCTCTGTCACACCAGTTTCACTAGGGACCAGGACACCATCCTCCACCCTGCTCCATGGTGCAGAGATTTCCTTAGGCAGAGAGGTCAATAGGTGTCCCAAGGAGTCAGTCCTGTTGAGGTTTAGTATTCAAGGAGCGGGCACTAACATGTGCAGGAGGGGCATCAGGACTGCAAAACCTTAGAAAGAATGAAGACAGGAAAACACTGCAGAGTTATATAAAAAATGTCTTAAAACTCTAGGTTAGAGTTCCGTGAAGAAGAAAAGACGTTTCAACTGCATTATTAAATGTGCAGTTGGATTCCTCCTCTAAAGGATGGAAGTAATAAAGCAGACATTGTAGGAGTTTATGGTGCTGTGGGGATCCCAGGACAGAATTAGCGTGTTTTTTATATTCAGGAACATTAGTTTTGAATAAAGCAGGCTTGAGTTTTTCTTCCATAACTTTGATTTTGGCTGGTGCACCATGATAACTGTTTAGGATTGCCTTCTGAATTCAAAAGCTGATGCTTAGTCATAACTGACATAAAGAAATTAATCATTTGGAGACTAGACCCTTATGGAAGGTAGTATTTTTTAATAAAGAAATGTGACAAACACACAAAAAAATGAAGCCTTTTTCCCTTTGTTCTACAGCAGCCATGTGGAAAAGCAGGGAAGACAGGAAGGGGATAGCATTTCAGTGAACAGAAGTAACCAGATAGCATGGGATACAGAGCTGAGGAGCATCCAGCATTGTGACTGGTTGTGGTTATGACCCAAGAGGAGAGGGTATTTTCCCAAATCAGAAAGGAAGAAGAATGAGAAGTCACTGTAATGGAGATCTGTTGCCCGCATTTCACTTTAGTGTTTGTTGTTATGCCTATCTTAGCTTAATGGTGCCTGATAGGGAAAATCAGAATGAATTCACATTGCCAGGGCAAGTGCAGCAGATGCTGACACTGCCTGGGATAGGACATATCTGGGAATACAAGAGCTGGAGTTCATCTGCATTTTAACCCAGAATCCACTGGCCTTTGTCCACTAACCCTCTCATTCAGATGTCTTGGGACACAAAGTGTGTATGTTCTACCAAAACGGCATGGCAAGCACGTACACCTCAACAGACGTTTAAACTCCTTGCTCCCTTTGTCTCTGTTTTGTTTTCTTCTTTGTTCTTTCTCTTTTTTTTTTTAGTTGCATGGTTTCTTGCAATTCATGAGCATCGCTTACCATAATTACCAACCTGACAAAGTTTCTTTTAGCTCCCACTGTGTGGCTGCACTGGCTGAAATTTCTTGTCGTGCTTCCACAAAGTCGGGTCGGTTTGATCTTTTGCTCACCTGTCTCTGCCCGAACTCTGTAATGGGAGTAACATTACTGTGATGATAAAACCCCTGGCAGAGATACTCAGAGTGACAGAGCATCTTTGTGTTGGGCAGGAAAAGCTTCTGTTTTGTTATTTCCAAATAGATCTGGCTTACATGCTGCAGAAAATCCCTTCTTATCGACCACATTGCTGCAGGACGGAAGCGTACTGTGAGCTGAAACGGCGTCTGATTCAGCGTTCCTTCATTGGGTCCCACGGGCTGCCAGAAAGACAGTATACTGCTGGCCAGGTCTGGTAAACAGGGAGAGACAGACAAGGATGGAGGGAGGGCTGGGCAGCCTGCCTGCCGCGCTCATTTTCACAGAAACAACATCAGTAGTGCAGTTCTTCAATGTGAAAAGAAACCCTCACAAACCCCCATGAAGTGAAAGGCTATGTCTGAAAATTCAGTTGCTTATCTGAAATGTCTGTTCTTTATGATTCTCTCTCTCTCTTTCCTTTTCTTCTTCACAATTTGGAAATACAAGGCAAAAAGCCACAGCAAGACTGTGCTCTGCGCAGGAAGCGCTGCAAAACTCGGCTGCTCTCGGGTCCACCATTTGCCTTCAGTAGATATCTGCAATTTCAGCTCATAAGATCATCCCAAATTACACCAATTTGTGTAATGATTCAGTACTGGAAATAAACATCCACCAGCTCACTAAACTCATTTCACTTATGATATAAGCCAGACTCCAAATCCCAGACGCCAGCAGGAAGACACAAAGTCCAGCCTTTCCTTTGCTCACGTGTTGTGTGTCTTCAGCTCACAGATTACTCCATGGGAGTTGGTTTCTTCCTCGTGTGCAGCCTCTGTGTCCTCATGCAGTCCATGCGCTCCCTTTATCTAATGACTTTTTCAAAGTGTTTTCATGATGCTTGTGAAATAAGTTTGTTTCACCACTATAAACAGTGTTTTGTACTGAATATAACTGGGTTTTCTGCTACATTTGTGTCTCCTCACTCATAGAACTGAGAACTACTGTTCCTTCATCAGAAATTGTAACAGTGTTCTCAAAAGCTAGTCCAATAGGAAACTATTTTTTTCAATACCTTCTCCAGCTAATTCCTACTTAATTCACTCACATACTGGTAACTACTCTAAAAATTTCTTCAGATTCAGGGGAATCAGGTTTTGTGTGATCCTAGAAACAGAAGGCTAAGAAAATTCTGCAAGCTGTAATTTCAGGTAGGCTGGATCAGAAACCTAAAGACCAATCCAAGCACAGTCTCTTTGCTTTAATGAGGAATGAGGTGTTGCTGCTGGACCTACCAGTCCCATGTGCTGCAGTCACTGGGTTGAGAACACAGTCCTACTAACAGGAAGAAACTCTGAGGACTCTGCTCATTGATAGGCGGGTGTTTGCATGATGTTTAGGATACTTTGTGTGTAAATCATGTCAATACCCTACGTAAGAGCTGGAAAATATGTTCCAGAAACTGGTGATCTCATTTGGAATTGCTGTCTGCAGGAGAAAAGGCTTCAAATATTATCTTGTTTGTTCTGGCTTTGAGCTTGCAGAAGCTTCTCCTTTTTTCCAAACTACTGCAGCTGTGGCGAGGTTGCCGAGGGCATGCCTAGGATTATTAGGCTGTGGTCAGGCAATCAGAAGAGAAACAGCTTCAGGATCTTAAGGTGTCTCTCTCCTTGAAGTTGCCCATTGTTTCCCCAGTAGAGCTGATAGAAACACGCGCATAAGGTCTAGTGCAAAGTCTGGCTTTAGTTTAAACTGATAAGAGAGCAAGGAAAAGGACTTTCAGGTCAGGTAACCAGACTTTGACCCAAAGCAGGCCAGGAAGCTCTAAGTTCTCCACTCCACTCTGTCCTTCCTCCACTCCTGTAAGGTCAGGCGATGAACCTTCACTCTGCTGGTGGTGCTGAGCTCCTCCAGGAAGACCCAAGGAAAACATACAGAGAAAAAAATCATGTTTTCCTTTAGATTAATGCAGGCCAAAGGCAAAAGGGATTGTCGTACTGACTCTTCAACAATGCATACCAGATATAGCTGGAAGTTACTTAAACAGGACGTGTGGTTCGATGGATTCCAGTCTGTCCCAAATCAGCAGCTGCCTGATTTAAAAGAAGTCCATCTTAAATGTTAGTTGCTATTGTAACCATGTGTCTCTCAGACATAGCTCATTCAGCTGAAATGTTTTGTGCCCGCTGTCTGCTAAATGACCAAGTTTTAACTGTTTGCAGGCACGCGGTGCCTTGATAAAAATGAGGGGTGGGCGGTATTTTTATATTAAGTAGATTCAACCTATCAGTTGAATGGCAGAATGAGATGGTATGTAGCCAAGTATGTTTTATTGCTAAAGATTATTTTACTGCAGTTTTTCAGATATTTTGTGCCAAGATACTAAAACCTAAAAAGCTGTGGCTTTCCAAATAGATTTTTATAGTTTATGTTCACCTGTCTTTTTTGTTTGTTAGTCACAAAAAGACTGAAGGCTGCAAGTGTTGAGTGTGGGGCCTTGTTCACATAACTCATGCATCCATTATGTGAATGGATCCTTTGTCACTTTGTGTTTGTTTTTTTTGTTTGTTGACTTAAATTGAAATGAAAACCAGATGACAAAATTGTGATGAGGCCGTGGAGTCTATTCGGGAGGGAAAAAAAAAAGAGCTTTTACAACATTGTCCTTGAAAAAGGGAAAAACAAACAAGGAGGCTTTTGAGCTAGGAAGATGGTGTTCTTGCCCTTATTGATGTGGCAAAGGATACAGAGAAGTGAGTGTTGCTCAGTGGGATGCATCAATCAATGACTGAAAACTGAACTCTGCAGTTATTTGGATGCTACCTGTGCGTGGCCAAGTCCTGAATGCCATGACTCCACCTCCCACCCTTTCCTAAGCCCCGGAAGCCACAACCCAACAGACACGTCCCTCCCATCCTTCAAAGACAGTATTGCTCTTTGAAGTGACTGTGCCATTAGTGGTTGGCTGATTGATTGATTTATTTTAGTCACGATTGCCAGGACACCTCCTAGTTACGCAGGGTGCTTCTGTGCTTGGCCTAATGCTGTCAACATCTAACAGGGTGGCAAGCGTGCAAAGTGAGCCAGGACAGCAGAACCTTCTTCTGCAGCAGCCCCTGGGGCGGAAGAGAGGCCTACGGCAGGTGAGGACACGGGGAGTGAGCGAACCTTCTCTCCTTCTGCTTGAGTTGGTTTGGGTTTTGTTGTCTGTGTTTTGAAATTATTTGTGGGTGTCGCATGTCCCTTTTACGTATTTTGTGATATACTAGTGCAGTCTGTTGAGTCAGCAGGAGCCACAGCACAAGTCGTAGCTGTGAGACCTGACAAAGCCCTCAGAGAGGAGGCGCGCTTTGTTTTGAATTCCCCAATCTTCGCCTCTGCAGCTCTTTGGTTTTGTTTTTGTTTTTTATTTAAACAATGGTCATTCAATCTGCACTGCATTACATTCAGTATTGAAATGAAAAGGCACAAACCCCAGAACTTTGTATTAAGAGGGTGTCTGAGCCATGGAAACCTTAAAACAAGTATCTGCTAAAAGCAGAGTGAACAGGCATCTGGAGGAATAGACGAGGGCGATCTGCTCTCCTTACAGAGGACTTGTGTAATATAATACGGTACAATACAACACATCAGCCTGACTTTTTCTTCCAATCTTTAGCTTCGACGACCGCTGCTGTCACGTCAGAAAACTCAAACTGAACCTCGCAGCCGCCATGGGGCTCGACTTTCAACCACGCGGCGGAGCATCCAGCCAAAGCCAAAACCTAGCGGTAGGACACTGCTGCATTTCCAGAACCAGCACTCCATGTTCGAAAGCAGAAAATACTTCATTATTGTTTCAGCTTGAAGGAGCAAATAGTACGTTGTTAGCAGCCTGTATGAAAGTGAAGTCACAGAGGTTTTATCTGGTTTCCTAGTAACCTGATATCCTATCGGAACATCACCCGCTCCCATGGTTTCTCCAAAGGCTTTCAAGGTGAAACTGGACATGGACATTGAATTATCATATCCTAGAGGTGTGAAAAATGTAGGGGACAGGTAGCCTGTCTTCAGGATGCCTTGTCCAAAACCTCCGGATGTGCAAATTTTGAAGCTGCTATTGAGAGTAGTAGACAGAAGGAAATTTCCCATCATTTGTAAGCTTAGCAGTTCAGAGCTTTAAGGGCTGTATATGGAAATGAACATAGCACAGTGCATAGTTCTAGTCCATGCCTTGTGTTTCCAGGAGTCAGCGCTGCCAAGCAGTGTATTCTGTACCATCTGAAGTGAGCAGTTAGCTTTGAAGGAAACACCTGGAAGAGCAATGGTTGCTTGCAAACTTTCTGGGTTTTTAACTCAGCCTGGACTCTGCTGGGGCAACAGTGCTGCTGGAGATGTTTGAAACATAAAGGTTGACCCAAAATAATTAAGAGAAGGAGCAGGGAAATTAGTTTTACTGTGAAGTTTAAGTGTCTTCACCCTGTGCTGTTCTGTCACTCCTGAAGAGTGGACTCAGTCTGCAGGAATGAGGGGCAATCAGCTTTCTTTTCTCAGATTTCCTGTAGCACCTCGGGCAATTCTCTTATATATTTGCATCTGGTTTTGTTATTTAGTTGAGGGCAGAAATGCCTAACTCACATGAGAATTCAGTTCAGTATATCCTTCTGGGATGGACAGATGTTGTGGGTGGCATTTCTCACCATGCCATGACAAAGACAGGCAGGGTGACTGGTCTTCAGGAGATCCCTGGCTTTAGAGGAGGCCCAGGGTAGATAAGACTCCATTCAGGCAGCTTATACAGATGGAATGAATCATGAATCCTGTCTTAGTTGCAAAAACTCCAGGAATTCTCTATCTTCTTTTCTTCTTGTGTGGTTTTGGGCAGGGGGGAGCGGGGGGAGGGTTGATTTGTTTTTATGTTGGGCTTTTGGGTTGGTTTTGTTTTGGTTTGGTGTTTTGTTTTTCACAAACTGTAGCATTTTAACATTCAGTTTTCTGGGCTGTGTCCCCTTCAGCGGAGCAGAAACGGTCAGTGACTTTCACTGAAGCCCAGCCTGAGGCAACAGCCTCCCCAGGGGAGCAGCTGGCTCCAGCAGCGCAGCAGCAGGGCTGCGGCAGCGCCAGCCCCCAGGCCACCAGCAAGCAGGAACCGCCAAGCAAAGCCGTGCTGACTTCTTCACCTGCCATCGTTGTAGCTGATCTCCACAGCCAGGCTGCTGGCCAGGTAATGTGATGTGGGTTTGTCACTCTGTCTGCCCGCTGCTTCAGCAAAGCCGCAGGGTGAACGTACGGGGACGCGCCTGGCGCGTTACAGCACTAACCAAGGCTGGTGGGCGAGTGAAGACAGCAAACTCTTCTGTGTGCCTGCTCTTCAGGCTGAGTTTGCTGTCCAGCACCCTGCTTTTGTAAACCATTCGCTTCTGGATCTACACAATGATTCTGAATTTGCAAATGTATTTCCTGCATCCTGGGTAACGGACACAAGCTGGAACACAGGAGGTTCCACTTCAATTTGAGAAGAAACTTCTTCTCAGTGAGGGTGACAGAGCCCTGGCCCAGGCTGCCCAGAGAGGTTGTGGAGTCTCCTTCTCTGCAGACATTCAAAACCCGCCTGGACGCCTTCCTGTGTAACCTCATCTGGGTGTTCCTGCTCCGGCAGGGGGATTGGACTGGATGAGCTTTGGAGGTCCCTTCCAATCCCTAACGTTCTGGGATTCTGTGATCTTCCCTTCCCATCTTCCCAGCACATACAGCAGCCCTTCTGGTCACAGCCACCAGTGCAAGTTTTCATCAACAGGTTTTTACAGCGTGCTCTCTGGCAAATGCGTCCTTAAGGAAGGACTCCCTCCAAACCTCAGGACTGCTTTAGCAAAAGCATCCCATTGCAAAAGAAATTGCTTGTCAAATGTTTTTCTGTGTTGGACACCACTGAGGACAGCGCAGGGACAATCACAGCCATCCCTTCAACACATCAGTGACATTGAGATCGCTTTTATATGCCCAGATATTGAGTGTCTTTTGGGGGTTATGTCCTTCGCCATGAATAAATGAAAGCCACACATCTTGAGAATACTCTAAAAAAAAATGAGATGAGGAGGTGTTAATGACTGAAATTAGACAACCTTTCTGATTATTACAAATTTGATTCACCAGCAAAAATGTATCATTGTTAGGACAAAATTTTAGGGATTTATTATCTGCCAGCACCTGGCCCTTTACTGTAAAAAGTATTTCTGAATGAGAAAATACCTGATGGATGTTCCCTTGGTTTTTTCCCCCCCCCTCTCTCCCTCCCACTTTCTCTGAGCCTGACCGCTGGCTCTCCTCAGTTGCAGAGTGAGGCGCTTTCTACCGACAAGGAGAAGGAAAAAGAAGAGGGCTTAGAGTCCCGGCCAGCCGCAGCACAAAGCAGCCCACCCACACAGCTCTCTGACCCCGAGGACTACGCTGGCCTCGAGACCACCAGCTTGCTGCAGCACGGGGACACCGTCCTTCACATCAGCGAGGACAATGGGATGGAGAACCCCTTGCTGGCCACTCACTTCAGCTTCACGCACGTGGAGCTTGGGGAGACCGACGTCGATCTAGATGAATCTCACGTCTGACTCTTGGGGAAGTGCAGTAGCTGGAGGAGGAAGAGAAAGCGTACTTTCTCCTTCAGGTTCCCCGGACCAGTAACTAATTAAAACAAGCGCACTTTATTATCCGAAAGCTGAAAACAGCTAGCAGCTGGTTGCTACGGACTGGCAAATTTCTCTTTGTGAAATCTATTTCAGTTCAGGGCAAGACCGCAGGAACAGAGAATTTTTACAGAATTCTCAGGGTAGGGGTGTGTGGGCAGATACGTGGCCCATGAAGCCTTGCTCGGGCAGCCACGTACTGCGATCAGCAGCCTCGCTGGGTAAGCGGGCTGTGGTACTGGTCGAGACAGAGAAGAGAAGCCTCTTTTGAGGTTGTGCCCAAGATTTATTTTTGTAGTGTTTTTGAGAGGAGGGCCATAGAGCAGCTGAACCCAAGGCAGTGAAAAAACTGACAGAAAGTACCAATCAAAAGCTTGATTTTCACAAGCCTGGGACCATTGTCTCTAACGTACAGAGCAATGATAAGCACATGGAGCAATTAGACTTTTGTTTTGGCACTGCAGACTTCAGTTGAGTTTACTTTTGTCTGTTGGTTTTGTTCCACTCTGTAAGATATTGCCCTTGTGCTACAAAAATATTTGCTCTGTAAAGCTAAATACAGGACATACCATACGAAGGAATGCACGTGCTGTGCATGGATGTAGATGGGCGGGGGGTGAGTGTTCTGCAGATGGTATAAATAGCCCACACTGTCCTGCTTAAATGTACTAATTCATCTACACAGCTTAAAGAAAACCTCCGAGAAACCACATCTGGCATGTGTGGACCTTCCGGTACCTAGCAACTGCTCCACTGAAGCTGTCATCAGTACTTAGATATAGGGATTTAAAGTAAATATTTATATATGGTATTTTCATGTTCCTATAAATATATATGTACATTGTAAACAAAAGATGGATATTGCAGGGCAGAAACTTGATGAAAGAATCTATTTTTGGCATGTTGAGATTGTATTTACAAAGGTTCCATTTTACGTATGTAACGTTCATGGCTGCAAGTGTTAAAGATATATAGATATATAGATATATATATATAACATATGTAGGTGGAGATCCCTGTGGGGGATCAGCTGAAGTCACAGCTGAATCCTGGGCTGCGCTGCAGCATCATGCAATTACACTGAAATGTGACTTTAGCCATTAGCTGCTTACGGGCAAACTGCAAAACAGCTGTGAAACAAACCGTGAAATCATAAGCAACACCCTGTGCTTTGGGAATCGTCTATCAGCTTACTTAGAACCAGAGTTCATAATCACGGTGTTTATTGTGCAGAGGGAAATGTTTGAGGTCATCCTGAGAGTCTGTAAAACGTGCTGATTGCCAGTTTGGCTCCCAGGGCTTCTCATGTGGACGCATGCATGACAGAACAGCCTCACTGAGGAGACAATGATATTTTCTCCAGAGAAAGGGCTGGCATCTCTCTTCAAGGGGTCTGAAATAGCTGTTTAAAACACTGCAATTCAAACGACGGCCTCACTGCTGTAGTGCAGCACGCAGTTTTTGCTGTGGTGTGGAAATGACCCGTGTAGCTGACAGCCGCTTTCAGCCTGCTGACACCTGGGGAGCTCTTCGGGCTGCGCTGCCCGGCACTGGGCAAATGCTCGATGTGCTGGGAGCCGCGCACACTGCTCCACAGAGGGACCCCGGGCACATTAAACCTCTGCAGAGGGCAAAAGCCATCCTCCTCCCAGGCTCACGGGTGGTGAGCGCGCTCTGCTGCCGCTGCATTGGTGAGAGATGGAGACTCTCAGCTCCTCTTGGGAAAAGCAAGGCAGCTGTTTTTATAGTGCATCACCAATATCATCACATATCTAAATACGTACAGGTAGTGCGCTAATGCAGCCTTCAAGTGTACATGGTTTTGTAAGAGAGATGGTTAGGTGAAGCTGTGGGGTGTCGATATGCTGCTCAGCGTGCGTCCTGAACTGCTCACTGCTGACCAGCACACGCTGTGCCGCTGCTGCTCCCCTGAGTACGCTGGAGCCAGCACCGGCTACCTATGGGAGCCTGCTTTGGATTAGCTCCTAGCTTGGAGGTCACTCAAGAAATTGCTAAACTCCAGATGCTAAGTTTTGTTATTAACAGTGACGCACAAATGAGAAGAAACACAGCTTCGCTTTCAAATCCCAAGGCAGGCTGAGTTACTGGCAGTCGGGCGGGGGAGGAGGGTCTTAGACGTGAGCAGGGCAAATGGCTGGGACACAACACGTGCAGAATTTACGGTGCACTTTATAGAGTGACCTTTGCTGCTGGAAATGAGAAGGAAGCATCTTCCTTAATGAAAAGTAGATGCCTCACCGTGGTACTCCACTCTAACGATGACAAAATAACTGTGATTTACTTCATTTAATTCAGTATATGTCATAAATGTTTCTATTCAGGTTTCCCACTGTCACTGGTGAATCCGCAGTAGTAAGCCATAGCAAGGACTAAAATGCCTCTTTTTAATGTCTACCCTGCTAGAAATCAATGCAGCTTAGAAATGATGTAACCTGTAATTTACTTTTATTCAGGTGGCCAGGCAGATGGCTTTTTGTTGGCTGATTGTTGAGAGAGGGAACAGACCAGACCAGTCGGGTCTGCTTTCTCATGTTTTACTTTCATATTGGTTGCACTTAATACTGTGCTGATGAGGTGCATACGATGTACTCTGGCTGGCTTTGTGCTTTCCTCCAGTATCTCTGTGACAGAGCTGGTGTATTTCTGCTGTGAAAACAAACGATGCTGCTTAAATAGTGTTAGAGGCCTTAAGCACGTGTCATGTTCAACAACGTCCGGGCAGTGTGAGTCTCGTCAGTGTCTGTCGGTCCCATTGCCTCAGCATTTTATGCAAACGTTGTCCCGAGGACTAAATACAGGAGTGACAGCAAAAGGACGGAGTTCTGCGTTTTAGCTTCTTGCGCAACACTGCATCGGGTTCCCTTTCTACGAGGCTTTGGTCTGCGGCTATTTAAGGCTGTTTTGTTCTGGGATATGCACAGCGCCTGCGAAAATTTACCCATCTGCTTTTGAGCCGTGCCCACCGAAGCTCGCCTGGTGCAGAGGTGCTGCAGGGAGGGTGCAGACAGTGGGCCTCTGTAGCAGGATTCGGCAGGGCACGGAAGAGCACTGCTGTCCAGAGCTGTGCTTCAGGGGGAACAACATACACCGTTGGGGGCTTTTTTAGAAGTTTGTCAGAAGAAAACGTTTTCTTTTTCTCCAGTTCCGACCTTTCGCCCGAGGGGGCTGCTCAGAGGGGTCCGTGTCCTCCCAAGCGCCAGGAGGGGCCTCGCATGGGCCTTGGTGACCAGGCCTCAAGGCCTGCCCGTGCCAGACCCAGTGGGGCTGAGGCCGGGCGGCCCGGCAGGGCCTGTGCGCCCCCCTTGGGGCCGCGCCCC